GCTGGGCGGCGCCTCGGACAGCAGCAACGTGGGGGCCGGCGGGGCCTTCTGTTCCGCGGCCTCCTCGATGTCCTCGCTCCAGCCCCCCGCGGGCGCGGCCGAGGCCCGGCAGCAGCAGCAGCTGCCGATGCCCTACAGCTCGGGCGCGGAGCCAGCGGCCCCTTCCAGCCTGGCTGCCACGCGCCCCGTCGCCATGTGCTCCAGCACCGTGACTCACACCAGCAACACTTTACCTCACTTCGCCGCCCCCGCCCCCCGGGTCTCTCCCCGCATGCAGCCTGGCGCCCCCTTCTACTCCATGGTCCCGGGCAGCTCCATGCAGCAGGAGCAGCAGTCCGTGTTCGTGCCTCCGGCCCAGACGCAGGAGGCCATGAAACAGCCAGGCATGCCGCCCTCCCTGCAGCTCTCCTCGACCATCAGCATGATGAACGGGTCCCAGATGCACATCAACCACGGCAACAAGGCCCTGCCGCCCAACTTCGGCCCCGCAGCACTTTTCAATCATTTCAGCAGCATTTTCGACAGCAGCCAGGTCAGCAACAATCAGGTGTGGGGCGCCTGCCACCTGCCCACGAGAACCCCCCCTGACCAGGCCTACAGCGCTCAGGCCACATACATGAGCAACATGGCGCAGCTGGAGAACGTGCTTCCCCCAGACGGCTCCAAGGCTCCTGGCTTCCGCTCCGCGTCCCAGAGGATTGTCACCAGTCCGATCGGTAAGGCTCAGCTCGTGGAGCATCCTGTCTTGTTCCCTTCTGTGTTTGTGTACTCCGATTAGACAAGCGCCTTGTTCATCCTTACGGTAACTCGGATGTGACTGCGTATAGCTCATAACCCTATGAGAAAATCATCTGTCTGATGCAAAACCTTTTGTCTGTTCAGCAAGTACTTTAAAATCATGGTTTGCAGTGCAGTTTGCTCCTTCGTGCACGATGTTTTGAGTATTCGTACAAGCACGCCTAATCTTAGGCTGTTTTTTAAAAGTTTTAGTTTACAGAATGGCACGTTAATGAAGTTACTGTGCTTTAGTGAAAGTAACAGCATTTTTATACCGATCTGGCTTTTTAAAGATTGCTTGGAAGCCAAAAGGTTTTCATTTTTTAAGGGGGAAGTGTTTAAAACCTATTCTTCTATTTGTTTTAGGAATGCATGCTCTAGACCCTTCTGGCAATTCTATCTCTTCCTCTTCTACGCCACTGACAAGCTTTGCTACAAGCATATCAGGGAGCCCAGTCTTTTTACAAGGCCCAGCTCCTGTAGGGACTCCCAGCTTCAGTAGACAGCATTTCTCACCACATCCTTGGAGTGCTTCAACCTCATGTATGTACTGGTATTTGCTTTCTTTGTGAAATTATTTTGTGTTGGTAAATGTTTACAGTGCTTCTGTGCTATTGCCCATTCAGCATACCTTGCAGGTGTGTTACGGTCTTGATTGTCTGAATTAATGTCCGTGCCGGTTCACCCGTTTCAGAAGGAGAGGAACTGGTGAGCGCTACAGCAGACACCTTCACACTGATAAGCACTGGGCACTATGGGGGTCCGGCATCGAGAGCGACATACCTTCTGTAGCAAGCCTTAAAGTTACTCTAGCTTTGTCAGCGTTGTCGTCTCCTGTCGTTGGTGATCTTCTAATGGGCCCTGAGAAACGCATCTTGTTATACCATTTGTGATCATGAAACTATAAACAAAATACATAAGTTAAACATCAAAGAAATTACTTTTTAACAGATATATACATTATCCTACATTATGGTGTTCAGTAATTAAACACCATAGCGTAGTAATTAACTAGTAATTAAAGTGCACATTAAACAAATAATCGGATCACTTGGGTTCTTCCCTGACGTGATGCCCTACAGCTGGGGACACCTGCACGAGCGCAGGAGCAGAGCGAGGCTGAAGCGTGAAACAGCCCTGCTGGAGACGCACTTCGCCCTCTCGGCGCTGGCCATCCAGGGACAAAACGCCCCACTGCCTGCTCTTTACGCATCTCAGAAACTTTCTTGATCTCGAGTTTTATTTCAGGGGGCCGTTGGAGGTTTTTATGTCCGTGTAGGTGAAGTCATGCGGAACTCCGAGAACACGTTGACTCCCTCGATGAGCTGCTGCTGTACTGAGATTACTTTCACTTTTTTTGGCATTGTGTTCATGCCATCATTTCATGACATGGTTGAAAGTACCGTCAGTTCCCCCCCCACACACACACACATCTGACAGAGGGAAATGAGTCGTATTTACTGTGCGAAGACGGCTTGTGGATCACCTGAGATGTACACGTGCGTTTCCGACTCGTCAGCGACTCGCATTAGCCATCGAATCAGCCCCCACACACTTGTCCTCCGAGAGCGGACCCCTGTGGTTTTCAGAGACTGCACAGGAAATCCTTGCAGGTGTTTTCCTGCTGGAGGTGTGATTGAGTATTTTACAAACGGCACTGGATGACCAACATTTCACACACGCTCACACAGCGCCTCAGCTGTCCTTTCCTAGTTAAGGACAGATGTTTCACAACAGTCTCAAGACAGGACGGTCTTAACGATGTGACTGTTGTATGTGTACAGCGTTTGTTGCGGTCTGTATTAAGGCGTGATTTGTGAGCATGAATTGTGTACCACAATTTTGTCAATATTTCAAAATGCTGCTCTGTGTCCTTTGGTGAGGAGTTCAGTGTTCATGGGTCCGACTCTGGGGCATGTATATTTTAGTGCAGTGCATGTGGTGGCTGGGCGCGCTCTTTCGGAGGGCCTGTGCCGTCGTGCCCTCGCAGTGAGACCCGGAGGAGGCCGGCGATGGCCGTGCCGGGGTAGCTGGGGCTCACGAGGCTGTTTGCTGTGTTTGTGCAGGCGAGTCCCCCGTGCCCTCCGTGTCCTCCGGAGCCTCCTCCCCGCTGTCGGCCTCCTCCGCCGCCCCCGCGCTCAACCAGGCCAAGGCCAGCAGCTCCAGCCAGGACCGCAAGGTGCCCCCCCCCATCGGCACAGAGCGGCTGGCGCGCATCCGGCAGACCGGCGCCGTCAACCCCGCGCTGCTCACCACCAGCTACACCGCGCCCGTCGGCCAGGGGGGCATCTGGTCCTTTGGGGTTGGCAGCGCCTCAGGTAAGCGTGCTGTCCGGATTGCCGACCCCACTCGTTGGTGCTGAAGTGAGCGCCCCCTAGTGGAGACTTCTGGAGTTCGTTACTCAGCTTGGGAGGACCGAACACTTGGGTAGATTGTTAAACGGCAGTTTGCAGGTAGCGCTCTCTTACCTAGATGTTTATGTGAATGTTTTTTTTTGTTTGGAGAAATCAATCTTTCTGTGTACTATTCTGAAAGCTTAAAAACATGAACAAGTTGGACTAGGTTCCGTTTCAAAATGTCTTTTCACCACACTCACTCTGGGCTCAGTGAAAAATGGCCACGCATACTCCTTCTGGCAGTTTGGAATAGATGTGTTTATTTGAACAGGTTCATTAATGCATGAAGTGGCGTAAACCTGAATTTAATTTACACCGATAGATAAACCATTTCTCACATTTAATCTAGTCATTAACAGCAGCTCAGAGTAATGCTGACAGTGTTCTTTTGGTCATGTTAAACAATTCCTGCAGCAGCAATTCTCAGCCAGTGTACTTTCAGATATTAACTGGTATACTGCAATTTTAGAAAAGTCATTGTTTGTTTTTAGAATAGCGTTCTTAGCCTGTTGTACACTTGTACTTTCTCTCGCCTTATGAGAGTCAGTTGAATCCCTTTGGTGCGTTTAAAATACATTTCAGTATCGTGAAACTTCACAGTACCTGTTTTTAAGAGTACATAAAGCGGAGATCAGGATGTGGTTCAGGTACTTTACGTTGTTTCCCAGCAGTGTGTAATCATTCTGCACTCTTGTCTAAATCCCCCCTGGTCGCTTTACTAATCTTGGGGTGCTCTCTGGGGGCTGTGCAGCTGCATGAGACCACATCCCCAACAGAGGGCACCCCAGCGCTCTTGTGAGCGGGTGGCTCATCGTGCCCTCCTCTCCCCTGCAGAGGCAATGTCGGGATGGTCTCAGCCCCTCATGAGCAACCACATGATGCATCAGCAGCTGTCGGACCAGTCTGCTTTCTCCCAGCATCAGCCCATGGAAAGAGACGATACTGGAATCGTGGCTCCCTCCAACACCTTCCACCAACAGCCCATGCCCAGCAACTTCATGGACTTCCCCAAGGTGCGCACAGATACAGGCCGCTGAGCTCGTGTGTCTTTTCTTAACCGTGACAGAAGAGCTTTCCCGTTAGGGTTTCACGTTGGAGAGTGTTTTAAATAGATTTAGAAAAAAACAGTTGTCTCATCGTTTTAAATATCTTGCATATCGTTTGCTTTTAGCATGCATGCCGTGCTCTTCAAGTGTCATTATGACTGAAATCTGCATTTCATGGTGCGATTGGGATAGAGAATAGGTTCTTTGTAGTGAAGTCTCTGAAGAAATCGCTCCCGGGAGGCCTGTGGCCTTGTCGCCTTGCAGTCCCACAGTGCACTCCTGTGCCTGGGGCAGCTCCAGAGGACGTCCTCTTCCATTATTGGCTGGTTCTGGGTCACTCGACTGTCTGTCCAGAGAGCCAGTGGACACTTGCACATTCCCTGTATCCCCCTGCTCCAGGAGCAGAGCGGAGATTTTCGTTTTTATGAAACAAGCAGGTGTGTCCTCAATCTCGCCCGTGGCTGTGTGTCTCCAGGGTTTGCCGATGTCCATGTACGGTGGGACCATGATTCCGCCTCACCCCCCCATGGCTGAAGGCCCGGGGGGGCCGCTGTACAACGGACTCCACACTGCCGACCCCGCCTGGAACCCCATCTTAAAAGTCGTCCCTAATTCTGCAGAGAACTCAGACCCCCAGCAGGTAAAATTCTAAAAGGTATTTCCACACAGTGGAGCTGGGACTCCAATGAGCCGTGTTTCTGCGTTCTTGACACTTTCTCTCTCTGAGGGGCAGGTAGAAGCGTGTGTACTAAGTTACTGCCATTAGCGGCCCTGCCAGTGGGGGGGGGGTGTCTCAGGTTTATTGCAGAAACTCAGAAAATTAAACACCAGTATGAACGTTACGGTTGGAGTGTGACTCTGGGTTTCAAATAAGTCCACAATGTTTAGCCGTGACCTTTCGGTGTTTAGTGAAATAGTGAGAAATCCTTGGTTCATCATTGTCTGTATCCAGACACTAACCAGAAAACCCTGCTCAAATGTGTTTGTATTTAATTGATTAAGTGTGGAAAAAATGCATTTAAACCTTGGTGTTCTTTGTGGAACTGGCAGCGTTTTATAGCGGCACGCCTGCTGTGTAAGTGTCGGTGGACAATCAATATCTTGTGATAACTGAGGTCTTCTCATCCTCGGCAATCGATCTTTTTATTGAAATGTTTGTGGTTGAAAACGTTTAAAGATTTTTGTGATATACATTCCATTTAAATTATAGCTTATTTTAATGTATCTGATTCATATGTAGGACTAAATATTTTTGAAAAGTGTGCAGTTGTGTGCAGAAATGTTCTTGTGGGATTCTGTGCTGAATCCTGAGGTGTAATCGCAGTGGGAGTGGAGAGGGGATCAGAGTGCTGACGGTCTTGCTTATGGCTGTACGTGACTCGCTAATTGATGTTTATTCTGTCATTACAGGTCTGGCCTGGTACTTGGGCACCACATATTGGAAACGTGCATCTGAACCATGTTAACTAAAAAGATTGAGGCATAACGAAATTGAAATTGAGATGTTAAACTTGTAGTGTCCTAAAGTTAAAATTGGAAGGATGGACACCATTTTTGATGTGCCTAACTAAAATTTCTGTGTGGGCTGTTACTTCTATTTACCACTGTCTATGAACAAATGGATTGCCTGTACAACAGGATACATTCTCTGCTTAGTTTAGCCATTTTGACTTTAAACCCACATAAACTGTTCTTGGGCTGTTGGCTCAACAGTACTGTAAGCTATTTATATGCAGCCAAGAACTAGATGATTACATAAAGATAAATCAGACCTTTTAGAGTGGTAAATACATGTATAATTGTTTACATACTAAAAAGGGTTAAAATGAGAGTAAATTTCATGTCGTATAGTGGCTCTACTTTATGTAGCCTGTATTAATGTGAAATATTTACCTTAATATTCAATAAAAAGATGGAACTGTAACTGTTTTGCGTCTTTTTGTAATCTACACCCCGACTTCAAAGATGTCACGAAGTAGGAAACTTAACAAATCCCTAAACACTAAAGTGTACTTAAAAAGGATCTGTACAGGGTGTTTTCAGTGCAGACATGCCAGGTTTAGCCTGTCAAAGTCTTTTTAGCTGTAACCATTGGAATGCAGGTATAGACAGACCATTGTATGAGCGTTTCTCTATATGAACAAGTCACAAGTTATTTTATGAAGTCACAAGTTGGTTTTTTTTTCCTCTTTTTACAAGACTTATCAATTACCAGCCTGTCATCTGCATTTCAGCTTTAACCTCAGAAGTGTGCCTTTTATCCACTATCTGGATTCTGGCATTCGGGGTTGCTGTTTTGAGTTGTTAAAAACATGCACATTTCTAGAGCAGGAAAAAGTAAAGCACTTCATGTGCAGATGAGACATACAGGTGCAGTTACACTGTATTCCCATAGAGGGCATCGTTTCCCAGTGAATCCCTCAATGGAGAAAGGCTTCAGCATGGAGGTAGGGTGGAGGCTGTGATCTCCACAGAAGGGTGAAAGTATTTGAGTGTGGGGCTCAGAAAAGAGGGACAGACTGCTAGCCAGTGACAGTTTAAAATTCAATAAAGGGACAAACCTTGTACCCTTTTTATGCTGGATATGCCTCTTTTGATTATCAACTTATCCAAGTGGCATACATGTTTTTTTAAAACATTTTAACATACCATTATTGTAAATATACCATTGCGTTAATTACACTGTCTTAATATTTGATATTTTCTAGTGGTTGCAAAAAA